CCCCTCCCTCTGATCTCCCAGACTTATTCCCCTGGATGACAACAAAGGACTGGAGGCCTCACAGAAGGACTGCTGGACCACGATCTCTAATGATACCCCCCTCCCCCCTCCCTCTGATCTCCCAGACTTATTCCCCCTTCCCGGTCAGACATTGATGGATCTGAGTTGGTACGGCAGGGAGTAAGGGTCCCATTGAAACAGGGCCAAGGTGGGGCCGAGTAGGATGGAAATGGGGAGCTGGGATGGCCATTCACCTCCCGTTGCCGCCCAGAGGAGGGAACCTGCCTCTTACTCCCGATTACCATCAGATTGGAGCCCGTCTTGACCGATTTAGAATGGGTCCATCAGGACCGTCACTACATGAGTACATGGTGCTGCCAAACCTCAGCAAGTAAGGACAGTTTGGCATAGATAAGATGTGCGGTTTCTTAGCGTGCCTCTTTCCATATTTGTTCCCGTTATACCTGCCCATTTAATCCCCTGGATTCCAGGGCTGAGGGCAATCAATGCTGGCAGACCTCCTTGTTACCTCAGACGATTCCATGTGGTGTATGGAACACGCAGGACCCGCTTTCCAGCAGGTGATGCTCCCCACCAATAGATGGAGCCTCCCTTGGGGTGCTAGAGGTGATTGCTCTTATCAACACCCCTAGCACCCGCAAGAGGTGCTGGGTGTACACGGTTCTAGGGAGTAAAAAGGAATTGGAAAGAGGAAAGGGTTGTGTGTGTGTGTGTGTGTGTGTGTGTGTGTGTGTGTGTGTGTGTGTGTGTGCGTGTGTATGGAGCAAAGACCTAAGGCAAGGTAGGCAATGGATGGCCAACACCAGCAAGTGACATTGGCTGGAGGGCACGGGGGAGGCAGGTGGGCAGACGGGTAGCATGTAGCAAGACAAACAGCACGGGGCAGCAAAGCGCATAGGCTGGGGGGCATGGGGGAGGTAGGTGGCCAGGCAAACAGCTCAACGCAACAAAGCACATCGGCTGAAAGGTATAGGGTAGGCGGATGGGCAAGCAGACAGCATAAGGCAGCGAGGGAAGCGACAACAGGCCAACCAACTACAAGGCCAAAACAGCAACCGAAGCAAGCCAACTAACTACAAGGCCAAAACAGCAACTGAATAAAGGCAGCGAGGGAAACGACGACAAGCCAAATAGCGACAAGTCCAAAACAGAAACCGAAAACCAAAAAAAAACAAGTACAAAAATAGCAAAGACTGAAAAAAATTCATTCGGAAATGGCCCCTGCTCTATGTGTGTGTGTGTGTGTGTGTGTTGCTGAGAGTGCGGAGTCCATGAGAGAGAGAGAGAGAGAGAGAGAGAGAGAGAGAGAG